ATAAAAAAATAAAGCATAGAAAATGGCAAGCAGCATACCCGCATCTCCATCGTCATCACTATCCCAGTAAGGAGGCGAAGTTGATGGAATCCCATTTTCCACCTGCTCCAAAGACCTCCATTCAGCCAACGCTTCACTAGATTGGCATCTCCGCTGCCCATTTGAGAGTCCCTCCAAAGACCTTGCACTACCTGCTTCCTCAGATGCACTTGAAGCCATTCTCACCCCACAACTCCCACCAAACTTCTAAAAGCTTCGCCTTTTCCATCCAAAAAAGATTAAACCACATTTAATATAAACACAAACATCTTCACTTTCCCACTTTTACAGACTTAAACACAAGAGGTAAACCCAACACAAAAACATGAACCAATATCCTTGGATTGTATACTCCAGTTTATCCATATGCATATATAATAAATTAATAATTCAAAGAAACAAGGATTTCTTTCATTAAAAAACAATGCAAAAACACAAATCGGTACATATTCCAAATGAAATGACAATTCCAATTCACAATTATTGCAATTACTGAAAAAACACATTAGGATAACTCCCAATAACCCTAATTCAAACCAACTTCCACTAAATCAAAAAGAACCCCAAAAACAAAAATAGAATTATACTCCAAACCCAATCAGCAAATTCATCAAAACACAAAAAAGATACATTTTTTACTAATTTACCAAAACCCAATTGGACCAAAACCCATCAAAGCAAGTAGAAAAATCAACAACCCAGATATCAAGAAGGATCAAAAAACACGAATTGCACAAAATAGACCCTACAACACAAGAAAAAGTAAAGGGGAGCTAGAATTAAGAAAAAGAATTGGTTAAGCATAATAACTAGATTAATAAAATGAAAACAACAAGAGTAGATCGAAGAGCAGAAGCAAACCTGTAGCAAAGAACAAAGCTTTTGTCAATGGTGAAAAATGGAAGCTGTGTAGAGAGAGAGTTGAGAGGTGGAAGAAACCAGCTGAACAAATGCAGAAAAAAGATTTTATATAAATAAATAAATATATATATATATATATATATATATATTTAATTCTTTTATAATTCATAGATTTAGTGCCATCTATTCTTACATATATATAAAATAAAAATAAATGAATAAATAAATATTCTTTCGTTTTTCAGCTCATTCTCAACATATTTAGGTTTTCATTTCCTTTTTCTTCCCTTTTTCTTTTTTGGTTATTTTCAAGAATTTTCCTTTTATAACAATTTCATTTTTTTTCTCTTTTTTGTCCATGACAATTTTTAGTGGTTTTCTTTACCATAATGCATTCTATTTATTGTTAGTATATATTTTTATTTTTATTTTTTGAGAAAAAATAATTATATTAATTAAATTTTGCGTATAAAGGAATGATGAGCGACTCTATTAAAATACATATTTTTATTGTATTGTTAGACATTAAAAAGGAGATGAATATGTGATATCACTATATGTTGTCATAAAAAGACTGAGCGTCATTGTGGCTATGCGTTGAAGCCTTGAAGATTCTTCTTAGAGTTATGGTACCTCTTTGAACCACTTGTGGTAGATTGATAACGGAAAATAAGGATATAACATAATGATATTGTTTTATATAGGATCTTACAAAAATGTGCAAATCAATATGCAATAATATATTATTCCCGATACACTAGATGTTTGATTACGTAATTAATATACATCACAAGATATTACAATCGTCGGAGACAAGAAAAATTGCATTTATAAGTTCTTTTGATTTAAAATTATCTCTCAATCGACTATTATCATATATTTGCTATTTCTCTTTGATGCATTTGGAATGTTTTGTTCTTTTTTAAAAATCAAACTCAACAAAGAATAAAGTGAGAAGCCAGTGTGAAGTGAATTAACATGTGTCTTTGAATTTTATTAAATATAATGATAAATAATCATATCAAAATATAGTATTTTTCTAATATATCATAAGGTGTTTTATATTCAAAGCTTTGAATCTAAGGGTGTAAGATATATTATGAATGATTCAATTCCATCACAATCATTATTAATCCTTCAAGATCTATTTCATGACTCATATATTTTATTTTTTATATTGAGAAAAGATATAAAGACACCATCAAAGTTGTCCTGTATTTGCATTAAAATACTTTAACTTTTAAAGTGTCCTATCACCCACAGTATTATTTAATTTTTTCTGTAAATGGACCATTTTGACCCATTTCCTAGTCTGAGTTGTTACCACGCACATGAGGCGCGTCATGCCTTATTTTTACTGTCATGGACCAGTTTAAAGGTGTCATGTGTCATTATTTTTCTTTATTATTAATTATTTTTTAAACTCAAAATAATCATTGTTAGCCCTAATTTTTCAATTTCATAGCTTTTTCCATAGCAAAATCAACGTTGATACTCTTTGTTTGACCACTTCATCATCTTCTCTAAGAAAATAAGACATCACTATTGGCGAGGAACTTCTGGATCAATGAAGAATGTGATTTTCTTGTTCAATAAATTCAAAGTAAACACTTCCAAGCTATGGATGCTCCTGTCTAAGCATCACAACTGGCCATAATGGCTGAGAAAAAAATTGTCTGCCACAAGTTGGCCAATGGAACATGATGAACAAGAAAATGGTTAA